CATGGCAGGTAAAATTATACATTTTTTATAATAAAACCTGGTGTTGCAACACCCCACCACCTGTGAGCTGCTATAATGGGATAATTTCTGACTCTACTTTTGTTTTTCTTTTCCAGCACTAACAATTTTAATCACAATTCTCAAATTTGTCTATCCTGTCCTAACCTCTCTGCTAAACTCCAGTCTTGCACCTCCAACTGCCTTTCAGCAGTCTGGGGCTGAACTAGGATATCTCTCACAGAGCTGGGCAAATTATGTGGTTCTTGCTGAGAGACACACACCTTGTTGAGAAGACACCAGGTTTTATTATAAAAAAATGTATAATTTTACCTGCCACTATGAAACATATTTTTATGTGATAGAAAATATTTTGTTATGGATAAACCAGAAAATAGAAAATAATACCTTTTAAAAATTGTTTCTTCATTCCTTAAAAAAGCATTTACCCTTACCTTTTTAAAAGCACTAATGTACAATTAGTGGGTCCAGAATCAAATGGGAGAATGAGCTGAATTGCCCTTTGAAAAGTGCACAATTCTTGTAAACCATAAAAGCTTCACCATGAAACAAAGATCAATCTTTTTAACACAAATATTCTTTCAGCTGATATTTTGTGATCTCACTAAATTTAAGCATCAACCAAAGGGAACTGGAGAGGTCCATGGAGGGGTGGAAAGGCTGTAGCACCCAGCAAATGGGAATTCTATGGAGAAGCAGTGTGAAATATGCCAGCAGAGAAATTTATGACCAGAAAAATGATAGGTTGATTATATAGCAAGCACAAAGTATGAACAGCCTCTGTGCTCCACTGGTCTCCATCTGTGCAATGTCAAGAGGGTATAAGTCCCAATCATTTAGGGCATACCTACTATGGCAAATTTATCAAAGGATATGGATTAGAGTTGCACAACATGAGCAGGTCTGAGTGGATTATGATCTTCATTCCTGGAGGCAATACCCGCAACAATGAAATCAGAGATCTAGGATAAATGGACTTCAGAGGTCTTCTAGCCAAAGTTCCTCAGTTTACACATGAGCAAACTGGGACCGAGAGAATTTAAGTGATTCACACAAGGTACAGTATATAGTAAGTATCAGAGGTGGAATTTAAATTAAATCCTATGATTTTAAGGTTGGTGCTCTTTGAACTATGCATGCTATCTTCCTTCACTAGAATATTGGTATCTAGAGTTTACTGGATTTGTTTTACATATGCTCTTAGCAGACATGAACCATATCCATATGCTTATATAGCCACACTCAGATATATAGTGGCTTACATAAAGTTTAACTGTTACTATAACACCTATACTTAATGAACAAACATGATAAGTTCAGTCCTTCCAAATGTTGGAGAAAATCATATTTTCTGTAGAAACAAGACACAATTCAATGGATATGGTACTATATTTCAGAATGTGTTTTCATTATCATTCTTTCAGATTTATTCCCATTCTCATTCAAATCTGCAATGCAATCTGCCTACACATAAAAAGAAAAGCTTACAGTTACGTCTTAGACCTTGCATGAAAATGAAAGGACACAATCTTTATTTAATAGTGGATTTTATTTATTTAGCTATTTATGCTGTTAAACTTACTCAAGGAAGTAATATTTACCACAAAGTTGCAGGCATAATTTTATCATACAGACCATTGACTCATTTTCAGGAGAAAAAAAAAGATGAAAATGATATTTGAAACCCCCCACGTCTCTGGAAGAAATGCCTGGTCAGTAAGTAGTAAAAAGGTAAAATTTGGCACCTTTCTCTAAGGCTCGGACGATATTTTAAATACAGCTATGATACATATTCTTTGCTTACAAAGCAAATATTACACTCAACTCATGTGGACAGTGGTTAATTCATATTTGTACACCCCTATGGAGAAGGATGCAAACATCCTAATTGTCTTTACATTTGTTTATCTATCCAAGCTTCCTGCCCAATGAAATAATGCTCTGGTTTCCACCATCTTGGAAGACCATTTGTAATTTGTGCAACAACTAAAGTCCACATTTTTATTTATAATTTCTATAAGATTCCCCTCAAGCCTGCCTGAAACTTAGTGAAGCTTTTAATGTGTAAGAAAAAAAAAAGATGATACTGATAAAAAATGTTGGCACCATATGTCTCTAAGAACAGGCAAAAACAGGTTTCCACAAAGTTGTTTTTTATTGTTTATTTTACAAATCTATTTAGTAGTCTGGAACTAGCATTATATATTATGGTGTGATGATTATGAGAGCTTTCCCTTCAGTGTTTCAATCACAGGCTAAAGTTGGAATCTTCCTTAATTTTGTGAGCTAACCAAAATTATATGCAATGATTATTTGAGCCAAGCCAACAATCCTAACACACATATATGAAACTAGATTTTCCAGGCACATTTATTTATCAATTCAGGTTGTAGCCTATTAGGGCCTAGCACTTCTTTTACTTCACATAAGAAAATGAAGTAAGAAAATACTTGAGCTTAGCTTTAACAGGAAGAAATAGGAATCTCAAACTGATGATTTGTACCTGGTTGGTAGCTCTGCTAAAGGGTTTGGTAGAAAAGGAGGCTGAAGTTACTGTAAACAGTATGGCTTTGGAATTTTCCATGTTATAAATGATTATGGATTTGCCTTCCCTATTAGTATGTATTCTTTACTGCATAGCTAAACACTATTCTCGACAGGTTCATTAGATTAATGAACACAGCTTTTATAATCTTAATTTCTTTGTTGTCTAAATTACTCCTGATTTTTATACCAGCACAGCATGGAGCTATGCATATTATTAGTACTAAATAAATATTTAAAATGATATATTGAACATGTCCATGATAATGCTTAATTAAATGTAGAGAAGCTTCTCCCTGGATATGCTTCCCTTGCCCCCAACTAACTGGAACTAGCCCATCTGTAAACGCTGAAAGAGTTAACAAAGGAATCTAATTATGTCTTGTACCCCTTTGGACTAGAGGCAGGCAGCTTCTTACCATAGTGTTTTTGTTAGTTCATATTTTGCCAGACTCTAGAGCTACCAGGAGATGGGATGGATAGAACTAAAACATATTTAGGGAAGGAAGATAACTAGACTAGATTTGATGAGAAAAGGGAAAGATGAAGGAAAGGAGGGAGACCTAAATAGTGACCAAAGGAGAGATCGTGGGAAGAAAAGCAGAAAGCAGAATGTATGGGCATGAGTGTATGTGGATATGACAGTGTGAGACAGTATGTGACAGAGTTAGATAGCATACGATAGGATGAGACAGTATGTGATAATATGTAATTTATCTGCTTGGTTTTTTTTCCTGCTCTTTTCCCACAGAATAGATAATTGATTACAGAACGTACTACACATACCTGATAAGCACATAATAAAATCTTTTAATTCCCAATTTGAGCAAAAGGACATTTGTAACTGATATACTGAATACCTTATTTGTAGTGAACCTATTATGATGCAAATGCATAATATTATGAAGTGACTTTTGTAAACACTTGCTACATCTTATATTACATTTTCAAACCTTTTTTTACACTAAAATCTCATTTTTGTTGTTGTTGTTGTTTTTCTTCTCTGAAAACGATCCAAGGTTTGCTGCCCCTATCCTGTAAACAAAGTCAACAGGTAATTTTAAAAAGCAGCTTTTAAGAATTGGTAGCTTTTAAAAAAGATTGTAGTAAAAATGAATAATAATGGAGGAGGGCTAGAATCTCTGTGGTTTCATTTTTTCTTTCCTCTGAGCTTATCAGGATCATATAAAGGCATGAATCAAGAGACAATTCTCTCTACAGAGAATAGTGATTACCAACCCTGGTTTTGCAATACCCAGAGTGTCTCCAATTCTCAAAGTAAGTTTAATTTTCTCTAATCTAAAATAAATAAATAAATTAAAAACGCATACCAAGTAACAGTTTTAGGAAGAGAATGGTGTGGTAAACCAGAATAAGGAAAGGGTGCTGCAATTTCTAAAAATGTTGGGTAGCAATCACTTGTTGTAATGGGAGACATTAACATTTTAAATATTTTTTGCCAGTTCAACTTGAGTAAAAAAATTTTTTAAAGTTTCAACTGAACCATAAATCATAGGCTTTTAGAGCAGCAAGGGACCTTAGAGATAATCTAGTCTAATACCCTCATTTTGCAGATGAGGAAAATGAAGGCCACCACTGGTAATTGACTTGTCAAGGTCAACCAGTGTGTGGTAGAATTGGGATGAGAATTGGTAGCCATTTGGTTTTAGAGTATAGAGACCTGTCATTTTCTATTCAACTTAGAAAAGTTCATATTTTGCTTACTCTTTGGTTGAACGAGGTCCACAAAACAACTATCAATTATATTGTTTTCTCTTGTTTTGTTCTCATCAGGTTCAACAAAATCGTGGCATAAGTGCCTTATGTTAAAATTGCTGCTTTTTTTTTAATTAACAGACAAAGAGTTAAATATTCACTGATGCCAACAGGATGACTTTTTTCTTAGCAACATGAAAGCTAGATATACTGTATCCATTGTTAAAGTGGACCTTTAGGAATCACTTTAAAAGGACACCACAGCTGAAGATTGAAGAGTAATATTTATCAACATTAAATAAACATTTGGTGAAGTATGTATAAATATTTCTTCATATAAACATAACACAAATTAAATAGCTCAAATACACAGACACCATTTAATATACTTCCACTGTGGTCAAAATCATCTGTAAACACCATCTCACACTGAATACAAAAGCAGCTTTTACACCAGCTCTGTGTTCACAACACTGATGCCCCAAACAAAGGTAAGGTTTTCCTCCCCCCCCCCCCACCCATAATACCCTCCCCCACCCCCAGCCAAAAATAGGAGAGAGGAGAGAGAGAGAGAGAGAGAGAGAGAGAGAGAGAGAGAGAGAGAGAGAGAGAGAGAGAGGAAAAAGAAGGAAGAAAGAAAACAAAAGAAAGAGAAAGAGTGAAAGAGAAGGAAGGAAGAAAATCGAACAATAACAATTAACAAACAAACAAAAAAACCACCCCAAAACAAAACTTATATAATTTTGGTCAAAGGAAAATAAAAAATTATTTCTCAAAATGTAAATAAATCAGATTAGAAGCAATACTTTTCAAAATATAGTCCTTTCCTTAGAGGACATGTAAGTTTTATAGAGCCCACCCATTATTTGGGTGCTGATCACATGTTCAAGCCCAGGAAACACTGGCAATGTCTAAGTGACACAGATTTAAGCCCTTTAATTTATTTAATAAATTTTCATCAGAAAATGCCAGGTAACAAAACCAAAACAATTTCTTTTTTTCATTCATTTTCCTCTTCTTTTTTTTAAAAACAAACAAACAACTTTTCCTTTTATTATTACCAGAATATTGCAATTGATGAGACCCAGACAGCCATGTCACTAATGTCAAGTTTCAAGCATATCACAGAAATTTTGTTTAGCCGCAAGCTCAGATTTGAGACTGTGGAGAACTCAAAAAACACTGTGTTGCAATTCATTCTTTGAGATCCAAGGGGCCTGGACCTTAGCACAGGTACAGAAAGCTTTAAACCAATGCAGCTGGCTACCCAGTCCTCATTGTGGGGTGCTAGAGCCCAGAAGAGGTTGATTTTCTTGGCTGATCTGGACTCAGATGGTCTTGAGACCACTAATCTCCACAGATCTGCTGATGTTGCTTAGCTGCTCAGACTGAACATGAGGGCATCTAATAGGCACAGCTGTACAATGCTGGCCTCATCTGGGTGTACTTTGGATAGGATTCTGCTGTTCTCTGAATGGCCCCTAAAAACAATCTTGATTTAAAAGCATTAAATGAGGCCTCTTTCATCTGGATCATGTTGTACATTTGTGTTGTGTTAGGTTTCCAGAGAACTTTAGTTGCCAAAATACTGAAATCATGTATTGCAGGAATAATTTGCCAGTTCTGTTTTTTCCCAGTATATTATATAAATGTGTGTGCGCGCTCTGTACCCACACGTATATATGTATTTATTTTCATATACATGAAACTTTAGCTGCACAAAACAGTACTCCGCAGGGATGGAGGATCAAGTCCACAGGTAGGTAGGGTTTAACAAGGATACACCAAAAAGAAGACAGGAAGCTCTATTGGGACAACAAGATGCCACCTCGTAACATGTTAAAACTTTTCACAACCATCTTCTTGCTGGCCTCCTCTGTCCAAGAGCCTAGATCAATACTTGCAGGATCCTTGGAAAGAAGTTGGAAATTAGGCCAGCTAGATGTGCTTACCTGAGTTCCCAGAGCTGATATGACTCAATGGACCTGGGCAGGTCAATAATGGTTTTATAACTACTGTACAGCTTTGCTTTCCTCCCTTTTTAGGAAAACCATTTAAAGTGGTAAAGTAACAACTTCCGAGTTAATGTTTTACCATTCAGTAGTATATTTTTTTTCTTTTGCTTAATGTGCATTTGACTTTTTATATTAAAATAGGTTTACTAAAAGGATATACCAGCCAGGCAGCGGTTTTCACATCTGGACATTGAAATATCTAATATCAATACCAGAAAAAAAAGTCTTCCCCCTCTCCCTTTCTGAAGGTCTATGGGGTTGAAGTGCATGTGTGTTTGGTCGCTGCTGTTGTTTTAAAAAATTTTCATTTTATGAATCCTCCTGTGGTACCCTCTTGTGAAAAATAACTGACTGCCTTTGTTGATACTGCTGTTTACGCCTCTTCCTTTTATCACACTGACATAGAAGCAACATCTTGAATGTGGTTCTGAATGTTTTGTTACACAGTGCATAGCACATGGGGTTCACTGTGCTGTTGATGTAACAAAGCCAGTACCCCAGGTTCCAATAGGTTTTAGGGATGCAGCTCTCACAAAAGGTGTTCACCAGGACCATGATGTTATACGGAGTCCAGGTGATGATAAAGGCAAGCAAAATTGCACTGAGGGTCTGTGCCGCTTTCTTCTCCTTGATAAGAGACATCCTTTTCCGTTTAGTGATCTGACTTCTGGTCTTTAGGGCAAATCTTTTGGCCAGTGTGGCCTCCTTGAAGGAAAGAGGCAGAGCTGCTGTTGTCTTAGCAACAGAAGAAATGGCCTCTGGTGTCTTGGCAGTCTCCACAGCTGACTCTAATTGAATGGGAAGCTTGGCAAAGCTCTTCCTAAAGCTGCCTCCATCCTCCATGCTCTTCTGGGCTTGTAGCTTGTTAGCTTTCTTGTCCAAGTCAGCTTTTCGCAGGTCCTCCTCTGATCCTTGCAGGTCCTCTGATGAGGGTAATTTGGTGGAGTTCAAGATCGTGCTGTGACCTGGGAGCTTCAGCACAATGGAGTAGATGGCTCTTGTCTCCGAGCCAATGTCTTCCTCATCAGATGAGGCAGAGTTTTCAAGAGAGGCAGCAGCATCATTGTTATTCCAGCTGTCGCTGCTACTATGCTCTTGATCCATCTGCTCAGCACTACTGGGTTTCCAGCTCTTTGTCGTGAACCAGAAATGACAGCGGCCATACTTCTTCCTGCTTGAGCGTCTTACGGTTTGCTGTTGGAGCTCATAGCTGCTGCAGCTCCTAGAGCTGCCCGTTGGATTAACAAAGTGGGCAGCCTCTGCATCACTCCCCGAGGCCTGCAGTCCTGCAAGCTCTTTGGTACGTTTCTCAGTCTCCTTGTAGATCCTCCAGTATAAAATAGTCATAATAGTCACAGGCATATAAAAGGCAGCTATGGCAGTGCCAAAGGTAATGGTAGGTTCAGTGAGGAACTGGATGAAACACTCCCCCGGGGGAACAGTTCTTTTCCCAACAAAGTACTGCCAGAACAATATGGCAGGAGCCCAAAGGATAAAGGAGATGATCCAAGCAAGGCCAATCATCATACAAGCCCTTTTGGTTGTTCGTTTAGCTCGGTATGTAAGTGGCCTGGTGATGGAAAAGTACCGATCAAAGCTGATGACCAAAAGGTTCATGACCGAAGCATTGCTGGCGACATAGTCAATAGAGAGCCAGAGGTCACAAGCTAAGTTCCCCAAAGCCCATCGGTTCATGATGATGTATGTGGTAAAAAGGTTCATTGAAATAACACCAATGATCAGATCGGCACAAGCCAGGCTCAAGAGGAAGTAATTGTTGACCGTCTTTAGCTGCTTGTTAACTTTAAATGCCACAATCACCAGAATGTTCCCAATGATGGTCACCAAGGCTAGGATGCCAGTCAACAAGGCGATGAAGACCACTTGCCAGATGGTGTGACCACCAAGAGGGTCGCTGTCTGTAGCATTGCTGGAAAAAGTCTCAGAGGCTTGAGAGACATTGTAGCTGCCATAGCGAGGGGGAAGACCTGGGCCTGAGGTGCCTTGGTTCCAGGAAGTACTGATGTTAACAAATGAAGAAGAGGTTGTATTGTTACTGTGCAGGGTCATCATGGCTCTCTGGCATAGTCTAGGGAACAGAGAGAGAGAAAAAGAGAGAGAAGAGCAGAAATCAGGGAAAATGCTGCTATATTTTGGCATGTTCTCAGCACTGGACATTTTAAAAGAAATTGAAAGACTGATACAGAATCATAGACTGTTACCACTGGCATGAACCAGTGAAACAATTTAATTTACCCTCCTAATTCTGCAGATGAAGAAGATGGGGTCCTCAAAACTTAATAATTTGTCAAAGGTCACACAGCTATTTGGCTGTTTGCTCAAGTCTAGAACCCGAGGACTACCAACTCCCAAGCTCTGGATATATTTTTTCCATTATATACCATAATACACTCATAATATTTCATCTTTCTTCTTTTGTATTATTTCTCAAAATATAGAGCGATTCCAAGTTACATAGTACTTATCCAGTATTTTTTTCATCCTTACTGTCCTTGATAAAGTCACTTCCTAAAAATAATATTTCAAATAAAATTTATAAAACTTGAGCTGAGATAAAGATAAGTTTTACGAGGCATCTGCCAGATGAGCTTCATAAGAATGAGAATAAACACCTTTATAAACCACAGCAGGGGAAAAATAGAAACAAAGCAAGTTAATATTAAACTGCTCAAAATATGAACAGAAATTCTTAACCTGGGGTCTATGAACTTTTAAAAACAAATAGCCTGATAACTGTACTTCAATATACTGGTTTCCTTGTAATCCCATGTATAATTGTTTTATACATTTAAAAATATTATTTTGAGAAGGGATTCATGTTATTCTTCATCCTTTGTTCTGGAAAAGGACCAATGACATCAGGAGGGAGGCAGGGCTGTACAAAGTCACAGCCTCACTTCTCTAGAGTCACGGGAGTCCAGTGGCAAGACATAGGTCAGGATGACTGGCGATGGCCCAAGTTGCAGTAAGAAACTGGCTTTTTTTAGCTAAGATCTTTCCCAGGTCTCAGTTTGTCTGAGGCAACACTCATTCAGTAGCTAAAGGCTAGGAAAGGATTGAAGGAAAACATGGCCTACTATGCCTTCACAAAGGAATCAGACAATCCATAGATTTTGCCAAATTGCCAAAGTGGTTCATGATAAAAAAGATGATTAAGAAAATCTTTGTATACATGCATGCATGTGATTACTACAATAGCTTCTTCAGTGAATTCCTAGATGTCAAAAACCATATGCATGGTCATGTGGGTACTCCACAAATATGTGTTTTTTAAATCTCCTGGGGTTTCTCTCCAAAATTAATTTTAATGAAGTTCACAAAGATGTGTTAGTGAAGAATACTTAAGATCTAAGCTGTTATCACTGTTTATCTCCTTTAGAAATGTTTTTTAAAGTAAATTGTGGTAACACTTGAGATGTTTTAGTATTATGGAGGGAACAAGAAAAATGAAAGGCACTATGGATGACACAGGTCAACTAGGTGGTACAGTGGACAAAGTGCCAGGCCTGGAGTCAGGAAGACCTGAGTTCAAATGCAGCCTCAGACATATTAGCTGTGTAACCCTTAGCAAATTACATAATTCTGTTTGCCTCAGTTTCTATCTATAAAATGAACTGGAGAAGGAAATGGCAAATCACTCCAGTATCTTTGGTAAGAAAACTCCACATAGGATGACAAAGAGTCAAACACAACCTAAAATGACTGGACAACAACAACAACAACAGATAACAGTGGATATTGACCTGGCCTGACCTAGTAATCACAAATAATACCTAGGTTGAAGTTTGGCCTTTGAAACCTGCTGACTGTATGACACCTAGCAATGAATTTAACCTCTCAATGCCTCAGACAACTCTCTGTGTTGAAGAGCAGTGTCAATTTAAATTAATTTCCTCATTGGGAATTTCTTTGACCAAGAAAAAAATTACATTTTATATGAACTCAAGAAAATGAATATGAACTATATTTAGAGAACTGTTGTTTTCATGCTGATAAATTAAACTTGAAATAAAATATTTGATTTTGTTGTCTTCTTTCAATATGTAAATCTTCAGTGTGAGGCCTACATTAAATGAGGAAGAAAGCCCTCTTGACATTTCTGTTGGTGTGGAAGAAAAAAATAACCTTGTTATCTCAATGTGCTATTTAAATTATGCCTCACTCTGGTGTACACTCAATAACACACCCTTATTGAATTGCCTCCTTTTCTGCTGTAAATGGAATAATAAAACCTGTCTCAACTACCTCCATCCTGCTTAGGCTGAATACATAAAAACCTGCTGTACACAGCATTGTTGAGCTGCACATGAACCCACAAATGGTGTACCTAACACACAACTAGGGACTTTCCAGATATGCTTTCTCACAGAGACAAACTGAATTTTACTGGTTCATTCAAGTGATGCATATTGGCTATGGGGGCTTGAAAAAGCTACACAAGCCGGATTTAAACCATGGCAAGTTGAAGCTGCAACCACCCCATGCAGTTTTCCCTAGAGAGCTAATAGATTGCTTTTCAGTTTGACTGCTTGCTTTATTTGCACTCCAGTCATGTGGATCTGTCAGTAGATGAGATGCTCCCTGTATTCTCAATGAAACTGGGTTAGAAATTTACCCCAAAATAGGCAAAGGGAAATATTTCCTTGCTGCAACACTGACACCACCCTTGTGCTTGGAGGGGAGCTGTTGTTATGTCATGCCTAGATTATTTCAATAACCTATTATTTGGCCTCTCTGATTTAAGTCTCTCCCTACTCTAGTTCATCTTGTAGTCAGTCACTTATCAGTAATCTTATTGCAGTGAAGATCTGACCATGTCATGGACACCACCTCTGCCATTCAATAAACTGCAGTGGATTACTCCAGAATTAAATTTAAAATGCACTGTTTAGCTTCAAAAACCAACCCTTCATAAACTGGTCTTTGTCCCTTCCTACCATTCTAATCTTCTTATATTTACATCTTTCATGTACTCCACTACCTACTGACATTGGAATCCTTGCTATTCCTTGCATAAGACACTCCATCTCTCTGCTCTGGCTGTCCTCTGTGCCTGGATCTTCTCCCTCCTTATCTCTATAGCTAAAATCTTTTCTGTAAGAATCCTTTCTTGGGCCTCAAAGTTAGTGCCTTCCCTATGAAATTAGCTCCAATTTATCTGGTATGTATCTTTTTGTTTGTTTGTTTGTTTTTTGTATATAGTTATTTTTCAAATTGTTTCCCTCATTACATTGTGAACTCCTTGAGGGTAGGGACTATTTTTACCTTCCTTTATGTCCCCAGGGCTTAAGACAATGTCTGCACATGGGAGGTGCTTAATAAATGCTTGTTGACTTATTTTAGAGTCAAATCCACCAAGAGATAGCGCTGATACAACTTGGCAATAATTGTACTTAGCAGGCTTATGCTAATTATTTTAGGCAAAATACAAAGAAAATGAGAATAATACGTCTTCTATAGGTGAAACCCAAGTCTCAAAAGGAGAAAGAACACAGGAAAGAGCAAGTAAAGTCAACTGAGCTCAAGATAAGTGGAATCCATTGAATGTGAATATTCAAAGTTAAAGGGAGAGAGGGGCGGGGGAGGGAGGTGGAGATTCCTCAGTCCCAAGGACTCAACAACATCCTTCAAGTTAGGAGAAAGCTTACGTTATTATAGGAACTTGTAATACAAATAGCAAAAGAATGCAGAAAGATAGAAGGCATCCTGTGGGGCTAATAAAGGACAGAAATGATGTACTTTTAGAACAAAAATTAAAAATGGGGGGATATAAAAAGGGAAATATTGAGAACAAAGGGACTGGGTTTGGGGCCCTTTACATTCTTCAGTGGGTAAAGAGAATCATAGAGAGGAAATTTTTATTAAGCACAAAATATAGATAGTATGTATTTACTGAAGAGGGAAAAAAATCAGTCCCCCAAATGTTTAAGCCCCACAAAAGCCGTGTAAAAGAGGAAAATTTTTGAATGATATGTGCTTTTTCTGTATACAGCCAGAAGGGTAATGTCCAAAAGGAATTTCAACTTCCTCTTTGGGGAAAGGTAAATAGGGCTCGAAACTAACTAAAAATGATCTATCAAATAAAAATATTTACAATCAGTCTGAAATATAGAATAATTACTAACATATAAAGTATTTTAAGGTTGTAAAGTGATGCACACACACACACACACACACACTCTTACAACAATTCTATGTGTTAAGTGCTATTATTTTCTCCATTTTACATTTTAGGGAACTGAGGTTCAAAGATGATAGGTGATTGGTTCTGGCAAAGTTGTCAGGGATGTTGAAAAGAAGCTTAGGGAGCTCAGAATCATGACCTTTAAGGTCTTCCCCAACCTCAACTCCAAGATTCTAGGGCTCTCTGGGTTAACAGAAATATTTATTTGTATACAGTAACAACAATATTGTTTTAAGAACAACTTTGAGCAACTCATTTTGATTATTATAAATATCCAAATTAGTTACAAAAGGACATATGAAGGAAGACAGTATTTGCATCCAGAGAAAGAATCGGTAAATAGAAGTATGTAAAGAACGGTTATACATATATATCTACATATACATATATATATTTCTATTACACATACACATACATATTTGCATCTAATGGTAGACATTTCTAGGAGGGGAGCGGGGAGGGAAGAAAAAAAGGGAAAAAAAAGAAAGTTACATTATATATTTAAAAGCAACAGCAAGTTGTACACATTAGATTTGTAGTTTCATGTACAATCATCTTTTTTTCTAATCTACTATGTTATAGAAATGCTTGTTTTATTTCTTAAGTTCAGAATAAAATATAAAAAATATAATAAATAAGTAAAGTAAAGGAATTCAGCATAGTATAGGGGATAGGGAGCTCACCTTGGAGTCAGGAAGATTTCAAATCTTACTTCACACTCAAATTGACTGTGTTACCTTGGCTAAGTTACCTTGCCTCTAAAGTGCCCCAAGTAATTTTAGGACAATAGCTTCAGAGCTGTGTTGATATGTGTTGATAAAGTTCTTCACCTGGAGCTCTGTGCAGGAATGAAACTATAGATCTCATTAAAAAATAAAGTGCCA